AAGTTTTTTCAATGAACGGACGAACTTAGGGGCGATTTCTAGGACAACCTTCAGGGACTTGAACCATAGAGGTTGATGTGGGATCACGTGATATCAATTTTTCTACTAAATTAATCGGGGAAACTGAATTGGTATGTAGGTCCCGTGACGTCAGGTCATGTTGCATCAAATTTCCCACCAAATTTAGCGGGGAAACTGAATTAGTGCTTGGGTCATGTGACGTCAGTTTTTCCGCTAGATTTAGCGGGGAAACTGAATTGGTGTGTAGGTCCCGTGACGTCAGGTCACGTTGCATCAAATTTCCCGCTAAATTTAGCGGGGAAACTGAATTAGTACTTAGGTCATGTGACGTAAATTTTTCCGCTAGATTTAGCGGGGAAACTGAATTGGTGTCTAGGTCCCGTGACGTCAGGTCACGTTGCATCAAATTTCCCGCTAAATTTAGCGGGGAAACTGAATTAGTACTTAGGTCATGTGACGTCAATTTTTCCGCTAGATTTAGCGGGGAAACTGAATTGGTGTGTAGGTCCCGTGGCGTCAGGGCCCTTGCATCAAATTTCCCGCTAAATTTAGCGGGGAAACTGAATTAGTACTTAGGTCATGTGACGTCAATTTTTCCGCTAGATTTAGCGGGGAAACTGAATTGGTGTGTAGGTCCCGTGGCGTCAGGTCCCGTTGCATCAAATTCCCCGCTAAATTTAGCGGGGAAGCTGAATTAGTACTTAGGTCATGTGACGTCAATTTTTCCGCTAGATTTAGCGGGGAAACTGAATTGGTGTGTAGGTCCCGTGACGTCAGGTCCCGTTGCATCAAATTTCTCGCTAAATTTAGCGGGGAAACTGAATTAGTACTTAGGTCATGTAACGTCAATTTTTCCGCTAGATTTAGCGGGGAAACTGAATTGGTGTGTAGGTCCCGTGGCGTCAGGTCCCGTAGCATCAAATTTCCCGCTAAATTTAGCGGGGAAACTGAATTAGTACTTAGGTCATGTGACGTCAATTTTTCCGCTAGATTTAGCGGGGAAACTGAATTGGTGTGTAGGTCCCGTGGCGTCAGGTCCCGTTTCATCAAATTTCCCGCTAAATTTAGCGGGGAAACTGAATTAGTACTTAGGTCATGTAACGTCAATTCTTTCGCTAGATTTAGCGGGGAAACTGAATTGGTGTGTAGGTCCCGTGACGTCAGGTCACGTTGCACCGAAATTCCCGCTAAATTTAGCGGGGAAACTGAATTAGTACTTAGGTCATGTAACGTCAATTCTTTCGCTAGATTTAGCGGGGAAACTGAATTGGTGTGTAGGTCCCGTGACGTCAGGTCACGTTGCACCGAAATTCCCGCTAAATTTAGCGGGGAAACTGAATTAGTAATTAGGTCATGTGACGTAAATTTTTCCGCTAGATTTAGCGGGGAAACTGAATTGGTGTCTAGGTCCCGTGACGTCAGGTCACGTTGCATCAAATTTCCCGCTAAATTTAGCGGGGAAACTGAATTAGTACTTAGGTCATGTGACGTCAATTTTTCCGCTAGATTTAGCGGGGAAACTGAATTGGTGTCTAGGTCCCGTGACGTCAGGTCACGTTGCATCAAATTTCCCGCTAAATTTAGCGGGGAAACTGAATTAGTACTTAGGTCATGTGACGTCAATTTTTCCGCTAGATTTAGCGGGGAAACTGAATTGGTGTCTAGGTCCCGTGACGTCAGGTCACGTTGCATCAAATTTCCCGCTAAATTTAGCGGGGAAACTGAATTAGTACTTAGGTCATGTGACGTCAATTTTTCCGCTAGATTTAGCGGGGAAACTGAATTGGTGTGTAGGTCCCGTGGCGTCAGGTCCCGTTGCCTCAAATTTCCCGCTAAATTTAGCAGGGAAACTGAATTAGTACTTAGGTCATGTGACGTCAATTTTTCCGCTAGATTTAGCGGGGAAACTGAATTGGTGTGTAGGTCCCGTGGCGTCAGGTCCCGTTGCATCAAATTTCCCGCTAAATTTAGCGGGGAAACTGAATTAGTACTTAGGTCATGTAACGTCAATTTTTCCGCTAGATTTAGCGGGGAAACTGAATTGGTGTGTAGGTCCCGTGGCATCAGGTCCCGTAGCATCAAATTTCCCGCTAAATTTAGCGGGTAAACTGAATTAGTACTTAGGTCATGTGACGTCCATTTTTCCGCTAGATTTAGCGGGGAAACTGAATTGGTGTGTAGGTCCCGTGGCGTCAGGTCCCGTTTCATCAAATTTCCCGCTAAATTTAGCGGGGAAATTGAATTAGTACTTAGGTCATGTAACGTCAATTTTTCCGCTAGGTTTAGCGGGGAAACTGAATTGGTGTGTAGGTCCCGTGCCGTCAGGTCCCGTTGCATCAAATTTCCCGCTAAATTTAGCGGGGAAACTGAATTAGTACTTAGGTCATGTAACGTCAATTTTTCCCCTAGATTTAGCGGGGAAACTGAATTGGTGTGTAGGTCTCGTGGCGTCAGGTCCCGTTGCATCAAATTTCCCGCTAAATTTAGCGGGGAAACTAAATTAGTACTTAGGTGATGTGACGTCAATTTTTCCGCTACATTTGCGGGGAAACTGAATTGGTGTGTAGGTCCCGTGGCGTCAGGTCCCGTTGCATCAAATTTCCCGCTAAATTTAGCGGGGAACTGAATTGGTACTTAGGTCGTGTAACGTCAATTTTTCCCCTAGATTTAGCGGGGAAACTGATTTGGTGTGTAGGTCCCGTGCCGTCAGGTCCCGTTGCATCAAATTTCCCGCTAAATTTAGCGGGGAAACTGAATTAGTACTTAGGTGATGTGACGTCAATTTTTCCGCTAGATTTAGCGGGGAAACTGAATTGGTGTGTAGGTCCCGTGGCGTCAGGTCCCGTTTCATCAAATTTCCCGCTAAATTTAGCGGGGAAACTGAATTAGTACTTAGGTCATGTGACGTCAATTTTTCCGCTAGATTTAGGGGGGAAACTGAATTGGTGTGTAGGTCCCGTGGCGTCAGGTCTCGTTGCATCAAATTTCCCGCTAAATTTAGCAGGGAAACTGAATTAGTACTTAGGTCATGTGACGTCAATGTTTCCGCTAGATTTAGCGGGGAAACTGAATTGGTGTGTAGGTCCCGTGGCGTCAGGTCCCGTTGCATCAAATTTCCCGCTAAATTTAGCGGGGAAACTGAATTAGTACTTAGGTCATGTAACGTCAATTTTTCCGCTAGATTTAGTGGGGAAACTGAATTGGTGTGTAGGTCCCGTGGCGTCAGGTCCCGTTGCATCAAATTTCCCGCTAAATTTAGCGGGGAAACTGAATTAGTACTTAGGTCATGTAACGTCAATTTTTCCCCTAGATTTAGCGGGGAAACTGAATTGGTGTGTAGGTCCCGTGGCGTCAGGTCCCGTTGCATCGAATTTCCCGCTAAATTTAGTGGGGAAACTAAATTAGTACTTAGGTCATGTGACGTCCATTTTTCCGCTAGATTTAGCGGGGAAACTGAATTGGTGTGTAGGTCCCGTGGCGTCAGGTCCCGTTGCATCAAATTTCCCACTAAATTTAGCGGGGAAACTGAATTAGTACTTAGGTCATGTGACGTCAATTTTTCCGCTAGATTTAGCGGGGAAACTGAATTGGTGTGTAGGTCCCGTGGCGTCAGGTCCCGTTGCATCAAATTTCCCGCTAAATTTAGCGGGGAAACTGAATTAGTACTTAGGTCATGTAACGTCAATTTTTCCACTAAATTTAGCAGGGAAATTGAATTGGTTCGTTGGTCCTCCAACGTCAGGTCACGAGAAATAAAATTTGCCGCTAAATTTGGTGGGGAAGCTAGATTAATATATAAATCACGCGGCTTAAAATTTTCCGCTAATTCTAGCGGGGAAACTGAATTTGTGCATGGGACTACAATTTTCCCCCTAAATTTAACGGGGAAACTGCGAATTAGGAGGCCGGAAAGGTCGGCCAGAAAGGTTCACGATATCGGGGGGTGGGGGGGAAGCTGAAAAATGTTATCGCATTAAAAAAATCAATCTGCTGAGTTTTCATTTACCAAAAATACAGGGCACGAAATGCTGTTTCATGTACTGGTCATCAGGATACATGAAATAAAACCGAATAACCGATTAACCGAACAACCGGTTTGCCAAACCGGATATTCGAATTCGAAAATCCGGTTAACCGAATAACCGGCTTTGGTAACCGGATTCGCTCTTCTCCGGTTTAACCGGATAACCGGTTTGACGGATATTTTCATGCACTACTAAAGAGTAATATAGGTCCTTGATGTCTATGGAGAATACCGCGCACTTCCTTCCGTGAAACTTTTCCATTACTTCAATCAACTCACTAGAGTTCTTTAAGGCAATTGACCTCTCCAAATTAGCTAACTTCAAACCCCGCTGTAAGAAGCATGAGACCACCTTCTGCCATGTCCCATTCTCGTTAACAACGGTACGTAGGGGCATTTCAATCTTATGATCCTTCAAAAAGAACTTAAGGGTGAGCGTTGAACGCAACGGTTTCAAAACGCTTTTCGCTACCTCTTCCATGCTTTCCTCCTGAAAAACCTTGCAAATGCTTTTCCTCAGCTTCCCGATATTGCCCTTCCATTCATTAAACAATGATCCCAACGCTTCCTCCGACTTCTTCTGAAAGGCCTGTACAGGCAAAACTGCAAACCTTCCTGTTTTATCTGTCTGCAACAGTTTTAACGAACTCCTTTCTAACTCTTGTTTCACCGCTCTCACATCCTTGAAATTCCTCCTATCGATGGGATACGCGTTTCCCATTAATTTTTTCATGCGCCCTACAGCATCTTCGACAAACGCAAGTTTCTCCTCACTATCCACAACCCTGGCGATTTACTGTATGTCAGAAAACAGTCTAGACGGCTTAACGTTTACACAGTACTTCGGACCTCTACCCAAGAACTCCTCCAATTTCTTTGACACCACTACATTTTCCGGGTTAATTATACAATGCTGTTGTTTACAATTTCCTGTCCCCTGTACACACTTATTTACCTCTGCCCCCCGAGAGTTCCACAACTTGAAACTGTCCAAAGCATGCCTCCTTTTGACATACCACGCACGGTCGAAATGTGTCCTCATGACGGCGCTCCAAAGATGGTAGTCTCCATGCCTCCTGAAGTTCTTTCCGAGAAGAAGATTCCAGAGTCTGTCACAGGCGCTGCGGATGTCTTGAACCCGTTGACCTGTTCCAGACCTGTAGGGTCTGATGACCTTCTTCTTGTCCTTCCACGGTATCCCGGAGGCGGCCAGTTGTTTGAAGAATAGCTGGTCCACATACTTTTTCCGCAGACACATCCCGAAGAACGCAACGTCGGCTTCCAACTTCGCCATCCGACGCCCCATCTTGTCCAGTGCCACGTACGCTTGGCTGATTAGAAAGGCCGGCGACGACGAAAACGTTGGTTCGAAAGAACCGGTAAAACGTAAACACGGAAGGAAGTGCGCGGTATTCTCCATGGACATCAAGGACCTATATTACTCTTTAGAGAAAAGCAGACTAATGAATAGAGTGAGGATCGCCTTGGAAGGGAACCTTATTAAGTTTCAATCAGGAGCAGGAATAGCGGTGGATAGTTTTCTTTCGGTGCTAGACCTTTATTTACAGTCAACGGTATTGGAATACGAAGGTCGCAATTTTGTGCAAAAAGAAAGAGTCTGTATAGGTTCGTCTGTAGCGCCTTTGTTAGCGGAAATTTACTTAAACACGGTGGACCAGCAAGTGCATGACAAGGTAGAGGAGTTGTCTCCAAAGTGTTTTGTGAAAAGATTTGTGGTTGATATCTTAGTTTGTTCTGTTCAGGAAGGATTGGACCAAGTTTTAGAACAAGTAGTAAGGTCAGCGGCGCCAGAGTTGAGATTCACGGTAGAGAGTCCAAGGGGCGAGGTCCTGCAATTTCTCGACCTGCGTTTACATTTGGAACGAGGTCTTTGCTGGGAGTATGGGAAGGAAAACCCAAAACCGGTTCTGTCAAAGAGTAGCTGTCACTCGAAAAATGTAAAAGCCGGGGTAGTCAGATCTTTGATTAGTAATGCTTTGGTGAGATCATGCATGCATTTCGGACCGGAGGCACTAAAAAACCAGTGGGAAAGACTGGTAATGGCAGGATATGGGGAAGAGTACATCAAAAGGCAGATTGCCCTACAGTACAGGGAGAAAAAGGGGAAGACGCAAGAAATCAGGAATAGGTACGCTGTGGTTCCGCATTTTCACGAGGTGTCCCACAATCTTAGAGCATATGCAAAAAAATATGGCGTGGATGTCGTATTCAGCACGGATTTTAGGTTAGATAGATTGACACCTTTTGAAACGGCTCAGAGGGGCTGTCAGAAGGCGCATAGGGAAAAGTCGGTGCCGTGTAGCGTAGGCGTGGTGTGTGAGGTTCCTTTGGCGTGTGGTTTTAAGTATGTAGGCCAAACCTCTCGGTGTTTAAACGAGCGTTTAACAGAACACAAAAGGAATGTTAAAAATAATGCAGCAAATTCGGAGTTGGCTAAGCATCTGGAGGAGTGTAGAAACTGCACAACGGATTGGTCTGGAACGGATGTAGTTGTTAAGGAAAGGAACGATGTTAAAAGGGTGGTAAGAGAAACAACTAGGATTAGATCGTTGGGAAATTGCATTAGTCAACCTTCCATGCAAATAGGGAACCGCTGCAAGCAATTTTTACAATTTTAAGTGCTTTTTTTTTTTTTTTTTTTAGTTAGTTATCCTGAAAGGCTTCTTTGGTGTGTGTTGTCTGTGGTGTGTACTGGTGTATATTGTCTGTTTTCTACAATTTTGGAGGTGACCAGTTTTGAGTGGGATGTTGTTGTGGGCTGTTGTCCTGTTTATTGTGAGGACACAAAAGAGTTGCTTGAGGCTTTGTGAGGCATATCTTCTGCTGGAACCTTTTCACTTGGAAACGTTGGGAGTGTCCGCTTCTTTTGTGATATAGTGGAACCTGTAAAGTCACGGTGCAAAGGACAAGTCGTATGTGATTGGTTGTTGACGACGAAAACGAACTATATAAGAGGAAGTTGTTGGAATAAACGTATAGCTGAGTTTGAGACCTGTCTGTTTTTTCTGTTACTTCTGCTCTTCAAAAAAAAAAAAAAAACAGTCTCACGGTAATCGACGAAATGGTTGACTTCCACCAGCTAGCCTGTACTTTGACTCTTTTCTCGTTAATACTTTGGTAGTTTGACTTAAACTTCCAAAGTATTGAAAAGCTCGTCTATCAGAACTTCACTTCAAGCAGATATGGAGTACAATGAAGTGCCTAAATACAACATTTTATTTGTCAATTGAGTTCTGCAACATCACACTGATAAATCAGCCCAGTTTATGTTATTGTTGCCTTTTTTTCTATCAAGAACACACCTGATGACGTTCTTGCACACCAATCACAAACAGGGTTCGGGAACTACAACTACAACACTTGCTGATGCTGGAAAGCTTCAGCGCGTGCTTTGAGCAGATATGTTTCGCGTGGTCATGTTAGCACAATGTTAGTTCCCTGAAAGGGTATACTCACCATTGTACGTGATGTGAGTGACTAATATAGTGACGTTATTGACCATATTAAATAGTCAACTAGTAATGAAAAGAAAAATAACTATTTTAAAGTGAAGAAACTGCCTTGACTCGCTTCGCCCTGAGTGGTGCTATGCAGAGAAGCAATAACATTTATTCTAGGAGACGTTTTTTGTTGGTATTGTTTTAGCGATAATTATTAGTCCTACCAATGCTTTTCTAAAAGTAAGATATATCGTCCACGAATTTCGAAACACTGTTTCCCTTTTGAAAGACTCCCGAGGAGAAGATGAAGTACTTGGAACCTTAATAACTGCAGAGCTGGTCACCGGCCAAATGATTTCCTTCAATATGTAGGCAATATAAGGCTCTAGAGCGGTCAAAAGGACTGTGATTCAGGTGTTCCGTGCGTTTATGGTGTTTGTGTTCGTTTCTAATGTGTAATTGTGGGATGTATTTGGAAGCCTTTTAAATACCACAGGGACACCATTTACTAACAAAATCCCCCCCCCCCCCCCCCAAAAAAAAATATTTTTTGTAGTTGGTTCTTAATACGCAAATGACATCTTGAGGGGGAAGGAATTATATTTTTGGTATATCTAAAATATTTTCTGACTAATATTTACGAGTTATTTTGAATACTTTACGCGCGTATTTCGAATGTGGACAAAATAATACAGATTGAATACATAATGAATATTCATATTCAATACATTTCAACTTCGTTTCAAGTACGGCCTCTTTTTGCTAAGGGTGTGAACGGACCTTTTTTCCGACTAAATTTGACAAGGAAAACAGAGAGCTCTGCCGCATGCGGCCCCAGCTTTGCTTGCTTACCGTTTGTTCCGACCGAAAGCACCTCTAGTTTCCAAGGCCAAGGCTACGCACGAAGCGTTCTGGGGCCTTGACGAGGAATTTGGGATTAACCATTTATTTCGGAGCTTACGGTTTTACCTTGCTTGACGAAAGAGCAAGAAGGCTGAGGTACAGACACGTACAAGTTACTAAAGAAGTAATTAAGTTAAGTTATGTGTATTGGTGTTAAAAGTAATTTGAGTAGAGTAAAAATTACTCAAATCGAAAGTAATTGCAAAAATTACAAATTACCATAAAAAAAGTGGCAAATCGCTTTTGAAGTTACTTTTGTATGTTTTTAGCGGTAAAACGCAAGTATAGAGCTTTTGATCCCTTAGCGAAATTGTGCAAGTCAAATATTAATCGGCTTTTTTTTTCACAGTAATGCTTTTTAGCTGGTTCTGATTCTGCGTTCCCAATTGCTTTGTACTTGTTTGTTTGGTCAATGATGAACTGCGAATGTGTCGTTTCTACTTTGAGGTCTAGCACTGTCTGAGCTTGATTTCTTTAGACAGTGTGTTATTGTTTACGGTGTTGCGTAAAGTACATCTAAAAAGTACTAGAAGTCAAGTACGAAGTAAATGAGAGGTTATATACTTCAAGTAAAGTAGTGAGTATACCGGGTGCAATGTACTTGAAGTAATGTATATAAATACAATATATTTCAAGGTACAGTACAAGCCCTTTTAACACAATCTATGGTGATGCCCTTTCATTCCCTAAACAGTCCTTTTTATCTAGTAGGCATTGCTCCAGGGGTAATCGGAGGTGCATCAGTTTTTTACAAAAATGACAGGAAATATTGTATAACGTCAAGTCACCGCAGAGTAGTTGTTTTACTCTCGCTGAAGAGCTATTTGACACAATCAACCAATAAAACACTTATTTTCATCGGTCTTACAGCCGCCATTACCCGACTCAGAAAAATTACCAGATGACGTCTCGAAAAAGCGTGTTTCTACACGGCGATATCGCCATTTATTGTTTTCGAATTCGGGATTGTGCATTGAGGTCGGGAGTTTTACTTTACTCGGAAAATACAAGCACATGTTTGGAGAGTTTACTTTCAAGTAAAGTACGATTTTTTTAAGCAGTAGTACTTTAAGTACCATGTGAGTAGAGCACTTTCCAACGCTGCTTGTTTATTATTTTTATATAAACAAGTTGGGGGAATTGCTACAGGCTTTTCGAACAATCTTTGAATCATTGAAGATCTGCATGTTTTAGAATCTAAGTTTTAGGAGGAAAGGCAACGAGTACAGCACAAACTACGGGAGCAGCAGGTGAGTTTGAGAGCAGGTGCTGCATTTTGTTGCCTCCTTTGAGGGAGGATGCAGTGCTTGCATTTCCTGTAGTGGGCGAGAGTTTCTACGTTGGTGAGAAGCGTGAATCAGCCCTCTCTTCAAATGGGTCAAGTCTCCTTGAGCTTCGGGATGCAAAGTAACGCAAGTTCTCGGGGCTAATCCCGCAGGTACTCGGCCTCTCCTGCGTCGTGTCTGTTCGCTCCCCGCGCCTCGTAGCAGTGTTGTGGCAGAGGGGGGGGGGGGGGGGGGGGGGCGGGGGACTCTCCAAACCATCCCCCTTCCTACACCGCATTCTTCCCCCCTTTTCGCAAATATCAGCTGGTCTTCCAACATCTTATCACGGCTACCACAAGGCGTTCGCATGATCCTAGCCCCAGCAGACGACATGCCCTTGGACCGTCTTGCCGAAATGGCTGACCGTGCAGCGGCGCAAGCGGTACCGACGGTAGCTGCGTTGACAGAACATGAGTCGTCGGCAACCGCCATGCAGGAACTTCCAGCAAAGGTCGCCCAGCCGACAGTGACCGTCGCGTCTCTGCAAAAACATGCCGGTGGTACGCGGCGTTTTTTGCAAAGCAGCCCTTCCCACCGAAGGAACTCGTCTTCCGCTCGAGCGCGATGGCCGTCACCAAGTCCGAGTACCTGCTGGTACCACCGAAAGTACGGACAGCGAGCCCTCAACCGTCATCCCCCTTGTGTCTGGCAGGAAAACACCCCGGCCAGTCACTAAAGGCGGTAAGGGACTCCGGCCGACCAGCATTCCGCCTTTTCTACATTCCTGATCGGTTCACCGGCTGCAGACTTCTTGTCGACACCGGCGCCGAAGTGTCCGTCATCCCACCCACAGCAGCAGAAAGAAGACACCCGGATAAAGGCAGAAACCTAATCGCAGCAAATGGATCTCTCATACCCGCCTTCGGTATGCAATCAATGACTCTCGATCTAGGACTACGCCGAATTTTCAGATGGCTCTTCATCATCGCTGACGTCAAGTGTTCCATCTTAGGATCTGACTTTTTGTCCAAATTTAACATAGATGTCAGCATGCGCCACCGTTGTCTTCTCGACTGTACGACACGTCTGACTGTAGATGGTATGCTTGCAACCGTTTCATCCCTTGCCATACGATAAAATCTTCCCATCTACGGGATTCGTATCTATACTTACCGAGTTTCCTGAAGTCACGAGGCCTTCCAACATGGCACAACCGACCACTCATGGTGTGACTCACACCATCATAATCTCTGGTCCGGCTGAATACGCACAACCTCGTCGCCTCTCCGGTGGACGACTCCAGACGGCTCGACGAGAAGTCGAGCATATTCTCGAGCTCGGTATCATTCGGCCGTCGAACAGCTGCTGGGCATCACCTCTACACATGGTGCCCAAGAAGGAGCCGGGAGACTGGAGGCCGTGCGGCGATTATCGCGCCCTCAACGCCAACACTTTGCCAGATCGTTACCCTCTACCACACCTGCATGACTTCACGGAGCAACTCAACGGAACCTGCATTTACAGCAAGGTGGACTTAGTAAAAGCTTACCCCCCATATCTATCGAGCCAGCTGACATTCCGAAAACTGGTGTCACCACACAGTTCTAATTATTCGAGTTCGTGCGAATGCCCTTCGGGCTTCGAAATTCTGCACAAACATTTCAACGATGTATAGACAAAGTGACACGCGGGCTACCCTTCGTGTTTGCATACGTTGACGACCTCCTCATAGCGAGCAGTTCCCCGGAAGAGCATGGACAACATCTGCGCTTAATCTCCGGTCAGCTACGCAACTATCGTCTCGTCGCCAACGCAGCAAAATCTGTCTTCGGAACGTCCGACCTCAAGTTCTTAGGACACCGAGTGACACCCGGAGGCATTCACCCGTTACCTTCGAAAGTGGAAGCCATCAGGGACTTTCCGCAACCCAAGTCACTTCGTAAGTAGCGAGAATTCTTTGTCCTCGTCAACTTCCATCGACGCTTCATTAACAACTGCGCCCAAATTCTCGAGCCCTTAACAGATCTGCTGCGCTCGCCAAAAGGTCCCACATCACCGGTGGAATACAATTAGATTGCAGATCGAGAAGTCGTTCAAGACTGCAAAGCAGGCTGATGTCGACACGGCACTTCTCGTTTACCCACGACCAGACGCACCAACCAGACTTATGGCCGACGCTTCGGATGTCGCAGTGGGAGCCATGCTACAAGAGTGCAACCAGACGGACTGGTTTCCACTAGGCCTCTTCTCACAGAACTTGAAGCCGGCAGAGACACGTTACAGCACGTTTGGTCGCGAACTCTTTGCCAACTACGGCATTATCTCTTTGCCATCTACGGCAATACGGCATTACAGACATTTTCTGGGAGGCCGGGTTGTTCATGTCCTTACAGTCCACAACCTTCGCCTTCCACGCTAATCAAACCTCGTTTTTGACCCGAGAGATTCGTCACCTCGCTTATATTTCAGAATATACAACTGATCTGCGCCACGTATCAGGAGCGAAGAATGAAGCGGCAGACGCCCTGTCATGCGTCGAGACACTCAGTGCGTCACCTGACCTCGACTTCTCCAAACTGGCAACAGCCCAAAAGAATGACGCCGGGTTGCAGAGACTCCAAGAGTCCTCCACCTCACTGCAGCTTCAACCTGTACCACTACCACTTGCAAATTCCGAGGTGGTATGCGATACCTCAACGGGTACGCCCCAACCGTACATCCGCCGTTTTTCGATGCCCCAACTTTCACTCACTCCATGACTTCAGCCATCCTGGGATTCGAGCAACCCAACGACTCATGTGCTCGAGATATGCCTGGCCCAACATCAACCGAGACATTCGCCTCTGGACGTGGTCTTGCACCTCTTGCCAACGCTCCAAGGTTCAGCGTCCTAAAAAGAGCCCGCTACATGTTTTCAAACCACCAGACGCCCGCTTCGGCCACGTCCATATTGCTATGGTCCGACCCCCCCCCCCCCCCCCCCCCCACCATCCCAAGGGTTCTGATATATACTTGCATGCGTGGATCGCCTTACCAGATGGCCAGAAGCGATCCCAATTACGGACATCACCGCACAAACCGTGGCACAAGCGTTCATCACCAACTGGATTGCACGGTACGGCTGCCCTTCCATTGTCACTTCGGACTGTGGTAGGCAATTCCAGAGCTCATTCTTTGCATAACTGGCAAAAATGCTTGGAATGTGCCACATCCACACGACAGCCTACTATCCGTTTGCTAAAGGCATGGTCGAAAGGCTACACCGGCAACTCAAGGCCTCGCTCGCTCGAAGGCAAACGCACTAGTTCCTGCATCTGCGGCTTCTACGCTTCGTAACTCGAGAACACAAATCTGGGGAATATGCGGTTTGCGCCCTCCTTCATTTTATAAATACCCCGAAACCATAAATATTATTTTCGTGAAAATTAAAAATTGGACCCTTTCAGCCTGCCCGATATGGGAGGTCTCATCTCAAATCGGGCAGACTAAAGTGGTCTAATTTTCAATTTTCACGAAAAAATTATGTGTTTTGGGGGCATTTCTAAAATGAAGGAGGGCGCAAACCGCATGTTCCCGAAATTTTTTCTTCTTCATTTACGAAGCGTAGAAGCCGCAATGGCAGAAACTAGTGTTTTTGCCACTGTTTCAAAAAAGCGTTAAATGTCGTGTCTGAGGTACCTACGGAGACAAATAATACACAGGGTAGGCTTCCGCAAAACCTGATTTGCAAAAGGTGGGCAACTTTTGAGCAAGTAAGTTCCTTTCTTGCGCACAAGTTTTATTCCTAATCCCCATACTTTGAAAGAAAAAAATCTTTTTTTTTACCGTTGGCAGCACTCTAATGCGAGGCCAACTGGTCGCAGCTCTAGCATCAACTCCGTTAGTTTCTTTTTTTTTTTTTAGCAGGAAGTCATTGTAATTTTCGCTGAAATGTTACTGGAGGGCTCCATGACTCTTCAAGAAAAGCATGCCATACGTTTTTTGATCGTTCGTGTCGATTTTCAGTCACTCAGGTGTACTATCGCGGACAATATGAGCTGAAACGGCGCTCCCCCCTGTGCACGGCACTGCCTGCGCCGCCTGTCGCATCGCTCCCAAAACACGGCGCACCCTGAGGCCGAGATAAATTCTCATTTGCGCTCACTGCGCCGCTGCGCTCTTCCGGCCGTCTGCTAGCGGAAATAGTGGCCGACGGAACCACCATCACGATGCGTGTGCCTGTACCCCAATGGTCACGCTTTCAGCTAACATGCCTTTCAGTGCATTTCACGAAAGCGTCGAAGGGAAAAATGCGCTGTCACTCTCGTATCTCCTCGAGGTGCGCTGCCTGACGAAGCTGCCTTGGCCTCCAAAAGGAGCCGATCTAAATATAATCAAAAACATTTGAAGGTGCATCAAGGTAGCCATGGCATGGCGCCTCTCCACCGCGCCACTGCCCACAAATCGTGGAAAGCAATCAGAGGTGAATGGGTGTGGCATCGGGCTGAGCCAGACTTCGTGGCCGCGTTTATGATGTTTTACCGGACAGGATGGGAGCCGTGGTCGCGGTTAAAGGAAGAATGACGCGGAATCAAATTAATTTGCAAGTTTTACTGTGCCTCAGGACGCCCCGAACCGGACTTAGGCCGATTAGAACAATGCTCGATGCTACGGCGGCGACACACTCTTTGACGCCGTTAACCACGCATATTTCTGTGGGATGTCTCCTTCATTCCGATATTCTTTTATAGTGCTGTTGAACTTCCACGCCGACTATTAATTTTTTTGTGTCTGACATTGTCCTCTGCAAATATTTTTTCGATTAAGGTTCTATCTCCTTCTCCTGAAAAATATATGACCGTTTGCCCCACCTTATTAAGACTAGGAATTTGTTAACAAAAAACTGCTGTCTTGTTTGTTTGAAACACACGTGTGGCCCCAGTAATAAAGAAATAATATTTTTCAACCTTATCATATCAACCAAGGTTACAAAACCTTCTCAGTAACATGTATGCTTACTGTGTCTTTTTTAAAATATGTGATCAATGAAAAAGTGAAAGCCGTTTACAACTCCCTGTAACGCCGAATTAGAGCGCAGCTCTTGAGAAGGAGGAGGGAAGGGTACTACTGGGGGGGGGGTCAACTGACCTTAGTGGGTCACGTGACCTGGGGGTCACGTGACGATGACAATGCCAATGATGTCATCTGTGACGTCACTGATGACGTCATTAGTGACGATGATGATGCGGATACTGATGATGTCATTAGTGACGTCACTGGTGACGTCACCAGTGATGATGACGATGCGGATGTCGGTGACGTCAGCCCGATACGATAACTTAATCGAAACGTTTCCATCAACGACGTGGTAGACAGCAAGCGTACTAGTCACGATGTCATCCTTTACACTCACAAACAAAAAGAAAAAAAAAAACCTTTCTCTGTTATGTAAAGCAGCTCTACTTGGAAGCCTCAAATACAACTATAGAAAATAAAGAGGTCACCTTTAAGGGGTTGCCGTAGGATTTTCTTGCTCACATACGGGCTCGTCATTAATGCAATGCTTAATAAAAATAATGAATCAGCAATCAAATGTTTCTTTATGGTAATGTTACAATCCCGGATTAAACGCTTAGAAGGTTTCAACTTGGTCGGGTTCTCAGTCCTCCTTTTTCTTGATAACGCTGGGATCCAGGATTACTGGCAGGTTTCCTCTTCGTTCTCTTCCGAAAAAGGAAGTTATGATGTCCACGCCGCAGTTGACGGTTCTATCGGCATCCTCGGCGGTTCCCAATCTAGGGTTCACTTCAGCTAGGTCCAAAACTCGGAGCTTACCTGCGTGCGAGGACGAAATAAGTAAAAAATAAATGTTTTACCATTTTAGTCTTTTACCTATGTTCTCATTTGACGCAACAGGAAGCATGAGGCAGGGCTGGTGAGAGGCTTCCGCAAAAAGACTCGAGCCAAAGCAATACACCCTGTTAAGCCGAAAACACTAAGATCGCAAAGTGGTACGTTAATTGGGCTAGTTAGCTCTTCTTATAAAAAATATATAAATCGCTGAAAACAAGAAGGGCGAAGTAAGACACTACATTGCGCAGTTACGAGCGCTCCTCTTGGTATCTTAACTTGTCTTTGTGAATGTGCTTTCGGAACTTTATACTTAAAAAAAAAGTATCCATGTATTGCTTTTTCATGTGTCAGAAACAAGTTCGTTTTGGAAAAACTCTGATCATATCGGGCAGTCTGGGGAACAGGTGCTCACAAATTGCTCACGGAGGCCCAGCGCAAATCAAGCGACGCTTTTACTTTTTTCACTTCTGAATGTTTCGATTGCCTTTCTAATTTCCGCCCACGGTGATAGAAATACTTCAGGTGGCGTAACGCTGTGCCTCCGCCAAAGAGCCACCGTGTCCGAAATCGGCACGCGACTCTTGCCCCTGTTGCCAGGGCGCGGCACCAACAGGGAGGTTGAGGGTGCTGTCCTTTTATGAACGGTAAGTCCGCCGCGTGGTTTTAAGTGGCTTTGTGTGGTTCTGGCGTAGATTCTAGCCGGCTTTGACTCCCAAAACTTGCGGACAATGGGTGTGAAGTGTTTTGTGCCAGGGTACATCGCAGGATACGAGACGTGCACGGAGGAACTCTCCCTTTCTGCTACATGACAAGGAAGACGACTGCCTCAAGGATTAATAACGCCATCGCGCGGAAAGACCGTCTGCTGCAACCGACAGACTTCGTCTTCTAGAGGCATTTCGAGTCGAAGTTTGTGACCAAAACGTGAGAAGCTTTCTACAAGTGCCACGTTCTCGTTAGTGCAGTGCGGAAAGCCGCTCCGCCGAAATACGCGGTGCCAACGACGTTCCCGGGCTGCCCTAACTACTTAGCAGAACAAAAAAATTGGCTGCATGTTTGAGCACTCTGCCAAACGCTACGAAATGCGGTAGCTTTACAGGAACAGTGTTGGTGAAAACAATTAGGAAAGAAAATGGTACGATGATGAGAGCGTTGTAATATGCCGTACAAATATCGAGAACGACATCAACGACGGCGTCTCGGACGACGTCGAAGACGATGTCAAGGGCGACGTGAAGAACGCCATCTGGGAAGTCCTGAAGAACGGCGTCCACGACGAAGTCAAAGACGGTGTCTAGGGCGACGTAGAGGACGACCTCTAAACGACCTCAGGGACAACGTCTAGGACGATGTCCTACTAGACGCCGTCAAGAACGACGTCTGGGACGACCTCAAGGACGACATCCTAGAGTACTAGGTCAAGAACTACATCTAGAACGATCTCTAAGACGACCTCAAGGACGTCTTCAAGACGACATCATGGACGAAAGGTCACGTCATGCGAGCGACAGGCGTTAAGGGCGGCTCAGACAGCTGCGTTTGTTTATGATTTCTTGCCTTATATTGGGAGCCACGGCAACATTAGTGTTTCGTACGTCGCGGCCATTACGAAACGTAATGTAAATACACACCCCTCTGCGAACAGGCCTTTACGCGATCGGCGCTTATGAGCTTACGCGACTGAAGCTTAAGCTTCAGCCACTGGCGTTACGTGACCTTCATCACGCGACCTTCGCTTCAGCCACCATAACCTCGGCCAAAGGCTTTACCAGGCCTTGATAAGACAACTTTGAGCTTGGTGAGGCCTATAAAACTACCGTTTTAAAAGGACCCTTTTACTGTCAGTGCCCTCCATCCAGCAAATGGCAACGTGTTTTCGCGATGTCAACTGTATCGAAGATGTTCAAAAGTTTGTTTCTGCGGAAATTGGACCTCATACGCGAACGTTTTCTGAAAACCACACTTCGCTGAATTTGCGAAATATTGAGCCTGCGAATATAAAGTAGTGCTTAATATACGTAAGTCTGTTCGCGAGCGTATACTATATAACTTAAAGGGTACCCTATTGATGATCCGTCTGTGGGGCCCACCAGGTTTCCTAAAATGTTTTGACGTACCTATCAAAAATGTTCGACACTTTTGAGAGGGGTCAAAGTAGTTTACTTAGGGGCCTGACCTACCCTTTAAAAATTTTTAGGGGGTGTAAATTGCCCGCTGTAGTTTTTTTACAGGCCTGTGGGGTCTGTCCCAATCCCCTCTGTAAAACGACACTGCCCCAACAAAATCGTTTTAACGGGTTCATTGTAGAGATAACGGGACCATTCAGGGTTATGCGTCGGGGAAGCTGATTGGACATCGGGATCGGGCGGCCGGGTGGCAGCTGCTAGTTTTACAAAATTGAGTAGACACTTCCCCGTCTCAATTCTTTCGTGGGCTTCGCGGAGCCATTGCTCTGTCTGTCTTTTTTGTGTATGTCTTTCATGGACAGGACTATACTCAGCGCTAACTATTCCGTGCTACATTTCCAAGGCTAATCCGGCATTCGCAGTGCTAAAACCATGTAAAAGCACATGACGCCGAAAGGCGCTTATCTGTCTTGACACAGCTGGAGCACTGGGGATACTAGGCTAGCCCTGGTAACGTAGCACGGACTCTGACGCCGAATGTAGACCTTTGTCTTCTACTCTCGTCCCAGCAACCTAATGGGCGTACCCGGTATTGGCACCTAAGTATAATGAAACGTTTCAACCTATAAATAGTAAAAATTGAGGAAAGGCAAAACGAGAATGTGTGATGGTTACGCTTATATCCCAAATAATTTCTAATGGCGTGGCGACGGCAAAACAATGTTTTTGTCCTTACTAGAAGTGATGAGAATTCAAGATGGCGGCGCCCTTGTGAAAAGTGTCTGTGAAGACTGCCAAGGACGCCTCCCCACGCACTTTCTTTCCCTCACTCACGAGAATAAGACGGCACGTGGGGAAAACGGGAGGGCGACATTTTGCTCTTTCTTTGAAGAATACCTGTTTTAGTCAGCTTTAATACAGCATTTGTCAAAAGCTGGTCATCCTGCTTTTCTCCGTCAACAAGCGCAAATAAACGCAGAACAGCAAATGGACCTTCAGTGTCGTCTTTCCGTCGCATGCGTGGGACCTATGCCCTAGAGCAACTGGGTGTGCCGACCAAGAAGGTCTTTCAGTGCCCTGTTCCTGGCGCCTCTTTGTACGTCCGACTTTCAAAGCATCCAGCGAGTGAAAAAGACGCCGGAGACGGCACCGGGACTATGCTCAGGATTTCTCAACGGCGGCGGATGTTGGTTCTGCGTTCGTGGTTTTTGCTAAACGTGCTACTGAAAGAGTGCACGTGTCCGTATGGAGCACCTGCTCAGTTTCATTAGTTGAATTACCGTAAATTGAAGGAATCTACCCATCAGCATTGAGTAACTTGAAATATATATTTCTGCGACTAATGACTCGGTTGTCCCTATTTGGTCTACAGTTGCTTGCACCCGGGTTCGAGCAAACGTTCGTTCTGATCGCCCTTCTGTGTTACAGCATGCATGAAAACTCAATATCTGAAATAAATTTCCAATACAGTTTTAAGCAGCATTTTTATTCTGTCGTTCACAGTCACTTGGCTGTGTAACGGTTGAAAGGGCTGAGAGGACTGAAAGGCTAAAGGTTGTGACGGGCTGAAAGGTTTGATGGTCCTACGGGTTGCAGGGGTTTGTAGTGCTGAGTGGTCTGATAGGCTGAAGCGCTTTGAAGCGCTGAGGGTGTCCCGTAACACAGGAGGCCAGAAGTGTTATTTTATTAAAATAGGCCAATAACTTAAATTTTATATATCTTTTAGTCTTAATAAAGCCTAAAGTGCGCTTTAGTCTGGGGGCCTGCTGCGGATACACTCGAATGGTTATCATTCCACAGCTTAGCACGTACCTGTTTGTGTTTCTGGAATAAAGAAAGCGCGCGCTATACGCACGAGCGCTACAAATTACACCTCTAAAAGCCCTTTATTAATTTATTTGAACCGTCAATAGCCCTGTATATAGCGCCAGCAATTTACCCCGCTGCTGAAAGTGCAATATTTAACTGCCACGTTCAGTGCACCAGGTGCGAAGCTTCGCTGCAGTTCCTAAGTGTTTTACTCCGCGCGTAGAAGACGGACGTCGTCGGCGCCGTCTGGTGGCGCGGGTGAAGAACGGGGACAAAAGTGCGACGCGCCTTGAAACTTCGTTAGCCTCCCTCAGCTGTACTACAGCGCGGCCGCGTGGTTAAGTAGCCAAATCAAATAAAGAAAAAAAAATTAAGTAGCCAAATCGGCAGCGGGCTTGGCTGACACGCTCGTGGCTCGGGTTCGATTCCCGATACTGCCTGTATTTTTTTATGTAAGTAAAAGATTCAACAAGCTTGATGAACCGTCTGGGTTGTTCATGTTTAGAATGCAGGGTTCGAGAACAATCGAGGAAGTATATTATAAACTCGCAGTGATGGCATGGCAACTCCGGTTGAAAACGAAGCCAAAATAAATTACTGGTATCGCTTTAGTAGTGCGAAATATGATCACAGCCCAGAAGTTACACCAAAGTGAAGTCGCTTATTACACTAAAAGCGATTTTCACGATGCGGCCAGCTGCTTTTAAGCGGGTGGCTAGTGGGTGAGCTTTTAGCCAAGGAAGACTGGCGCCGTATCACTGTGACATCATATAACCTAGGCATTGCGGTTGTTTAGTTTTATCGCGCACCGCAGCAGCAGAGTGATGTTACATCGACGCCGTACGGCTAATGATTAGGGTTGCAACACCTCTAACAGATATTTTCGGTTTTGCCGTAGACGTCCGAAACCAAACTTTCAGCCGTGATATATATAAAACTACATAATATCGAGAAAAATATTATGAATTGTAATTTAGAGACGCTGCTTTAGATTAAAACCGTCGAAATCCTTAATTCAGAATGTTTGACCGGAGTTGCCCTTTAAAACAAGCTTCACCGCGCCGAAAGGTTTAGTCTAGCTCCAGGACTCGATCCTGCTGTACGCCGCCATCAAAGCCCGCGACGCTAGCCTTCTTCTTTTGTGTCTTGGGTACTGATTAGCACAGTTAAACGTTTTTTTTTTTTTTTTTTTTTTTTTTTTTCAGTCATGCGCCGCCTTATGATATTAACTCACTGTTCGTGAGTTCGTGATTCGTGAGTTGAATGTGCTGAGTATAACACATGCAGCGAACCCCTGCAGAGGCTTACAGGGCTAGCCCGCTCCTCAGCGAATGAATATTTTTGGGGGAGGAAGCCGACATACAAGCAGGCTGCCAAATTCAAGGCAAGCCCCAGGAGTTTGATCTCCTGCCAGCGAAGGTCAAGACCAAAATGTCGACGAGACCAGCAACGATCATCCAGTTGCTGCAGACGTTGACCGCTTCATCTGTCGACTTTATGCCTGTCGCCCTATGGCAACCCGACACCCTTCTATGGCAAGGCCCACGAGAATGTGGAGGACTGGCTTCAGCAGTATCAACGCACAGCCCGTCACGTGATAACGAATAGACTACGGAACAGCGCCTCCAAAATCTCTAGTTGTCCTTGGATAAAACTGCGAGGCACTGGTTTGAGAACCATGAGGCTTCGCTTACGTCGTGGGACACCTGCTTTACTGAGCTGAAGAGGACTTTCATGAACCGGCATCGTAGGCAGCGGGCCGAAGATCTTCTCCAGGCGAGGACTCAAGCACACAACTAAAACGTCAACAACTTTGCTGAAGATGTTTTGCGGGTGAGCAGCCGTAAAACACCCCAAGCCAACGAGGAAAAAAAATTTTGAGTGTTCTCTTCAAAGGCGTGAAGACAAAAATTTTCGGCGGCCTCGTTTGCGACCCTCCTACGACAGTCGATGAGTTTGTTTGCCGAAGCAACAAACATCGAGCGGGCGCTAACGGCCCAAGCGCGACACTATCATCGGATCAACGACATTTCTACTCTGGCATTGGCCCTCTCTGAGTTTAGCACCGGCGTCGACGAGTTTCCCGAAATCATCCGGGACGTTGATCGCGAAGAAGTAACGAACTTACTGCCAGCTGCCGACTTCCTGGCATCGCTGTCCTTCGCCAAAGTCGCGCGAGAACATCTTCAGAGAGCCATCGAAATACAGGCCCCTGTGAACCCTGCACTGAGGCGAGCAACCGACGGTGACCTAGGCCGCAATAAAAATCTGGTTCGCAGCCAACATCTTAAGGCCACAATTACAATAATATGATTCAGTGAATGTTTGCTAATAAATGTTTTCATGATCGCGGTCTCTGATGGTGCCCATTTGTTAATGGTCACACTCACGCCATTCGCAGAAGTAATATTTGTAAACATGAGTTGTTTTTTTGTTTTAATGTTGTACATATAATCTTGGAATTAGGCATTCCATCCGCCCTTACGAGTTTCGTTTTACTAACTTGGACACCATACGTTTTTTGATTTCTTATTAAAAGTTCTATTCTCGCTTTCATTCCAGATGTTTGTGCCGCGCCTATGGCACCCGCAAGGCCAAGCGCATCACTTTTTTCAAGGAATCCCGTGCAAAGGTAAAGTATGCTGCCAGTGCGTTTTTCCTGACACGAGAGGGCTAGTCGCTGTAACACTGCAGCGGTGTATGAGGAGAGGAACGGCTTAATTTTGGGCAAAACATGGATCTTTAGAAAAAATACAAAAATGCTTATTTTAAGGTTCACATGTTTGAATCGAATAGACTTAAGTATAAACCTCCACGGTTTATACGGCCCATTCTACGTTCATGCAACGATAAATTTAATAATTATTATCTATCAAACAAAATACAGGGGTGCAAGAAACAAAGAAGCTGGACTAGGCTAACATAGTTAGTTTGCCTTATTCAAGGGCTTCTTAAAGAATGCCAGAAACACATTTGACGTCATTATATTCCAACGGTTAAATGGTTATATCCTCATGTTTATAGAGGCATTTTTTGGCGTTGTTTATGCTTAGAAGCGTGCGCGCTCATGGCAGAGGATTTTAGCAGAAACAACTACATACATATAATTTATATTTTATTATGTTCTATCAATCATATAATTATTACAAAAAACGGCGAAGCCCGTGTAAAAGATCGTGGTTTGTATTGGCCTTGAGCACGTAGTATATATAGGTCGGCGACCTCAAAACAAACAAAAACCGGGGGCCTCCTTGACAGAGTTTGAAGCACACAGGCAGATAAAAAAGGGCATTTTTTTGTTTAGACGCTGACATCAGAAAGGCTACGAGTTATGTCGATATATTTACTACAAAGACTCAACCATTTCTCCAACGCGTGCGTTCTCGGATTCGCCGCCATACTCTTAAGCGTAGATGTGGAGTTTTATTTGATCACCGTAACTAGAGCTTATGTGTAGTATTTAGGAGATGGGTGGAGGACAGATAAAGCAAATACTTGCCAGATCTGTGTACTTCTTCCGCTATAACCAGCGCTTCTCGCATCGAGAGACCACCAATTTCTGCAAGGAAAGTGACATGAGAAAATAACATCGTTTTCTATCTTTCTTTTCTGGTGTTATTGGACGCATGTTCTTTAGCGAAATAGTAAGGGCACCAGATCGGCTGCACCTTTAAACTAGAACTTGCTTGAGTGAACTCTTCATTCTGAATTACGGATCGTCAAATCCAAAGGCCGTGTCTGTCGCTAAGCCTGAAACTGAAATGTGACAAATGTACGCTGAAAAGAGCAGCACGTATAGGCGACATAAACTCGAAGCTTCAAAATACCTCACTTAAAACAAACACAGCAGCCAAAAACTAACACTGTTTTTTCTCACCGTCCAGGAAAACGGAAATTTGCTTGATGGTTCCAGAAAGAAACTGAATTTTAATATATTACTCGATATGTTTACCCTATTGCAAGAAAATATCGAATTTACGCCTTGTTTTACTCATAAAAATAATTGTTGACATTAGTGTTCCGTTTTATATTATATACACGTTTTGCTTAAGTTATGTTTCGCCAAAGTCCGACATATGTCTCTGCGGTACAATGATCAATTTACACATGGACTTAAAGTTCCACAAATTAGCTCCAACCAAAACACAAAAGGAAACCCAACATTTCGAAACCAACTCGGTTCCTTCTTCAAGGGTGACTGAAAGCTCGCTGAAGAGCAGCAGCTCCTCTTCTTCTTCAGATTTTGCATTCGAAGAGGTTAGGAGCTGCTGCTGTTCCGTCTGCTTTCAGTCACCCTTGAAGAAGAAACCGAGTTGGCTTCGAAGGTTGGGTTTCATTTCGAGGTTTTGTTGGAGCTACATTTTCGGACTTTAATTCTTTCCCAACCAGGCAGATTTCTGCCGAATATGTTTACTTACACATGGGCTTGTCTCCTTATACTGACCACAGCGGTTTGCTCTCACTCAACATGCATTGGTAACGCCGTGTCACTTATATATGTATAGAACCATATTGTTTTATGCTTTAGCGCGTACACTTTCTAGTGAAAAAACATTAGATATTGAAGATTCAATAATCTTTTCAATTTTAGGGGGAAAAGGTGCTTGCCATTTGTATGACTATTCTTTAAGAATACTGTAACAGTGGGAGTGTATATGCATAAAAGTTCTGATGTAGAACGTGCTGCAGAGGAACGTCCCGATAAGTTTATAAAATATTCAATATCAGGCATAGTTGTGGCACACTACGTTAATATTGAACAATATATCTCACATAATCAAATTTTCATTCTTATTATTGAATTTGCGCCACGATCACCTGTAGTTGTGAAACGGTTATGATTATAATGCAATTAATGCATAAGTGCAAGCGAACTAGACAAGAATACGTAAATAATTATTGGAGAAGGGGACAAAAGAGACAAAGGACAAATACAAATATTCTGTTTGTGTTTGTCTATTGTTCCTCTTGTTCCCCTTCAGTGGGGACTATATGCGTGAAACGGTGTTAGAACACTTCACGTTCATTTGGTTTTGAGGTGTCGCTTTTTGGCTAACCTTCTGCAGAACAGAGGCTACAAAATAAGGAATGCATTTCTGTAATAATATTTCTAATCTTTTATGCAGAATGTAATATAAAAAAGCCAAAAAACCAATCTGAAAATTAAGAACCGTAAATCCAACAAGTCTCAGGATAGCGTTCTCAAACTTTGCTGCATTTTAAATATTCAGCAGTTTTCGGATAGTCTGTGAGCAAGTGGAAGTTATTCACTTCAATTACAGGCGAAATATATGCAAACTGACTGTACATTACCGGAAGTTCCGGTGCTTGGAACAAGAAGCTTATCGATCGAGTCTATGTCGAAACTGACGTGGAGGGATCTGGTACCCCTGTAAAAGAAAGATAACGGATTATTGTGTGTTGACACACATTCGTTTACGAGTAAGCTTTTTTTATTATTTTTCTGCTTTATTTTTTGTGAATCATTGGAATATCCCGAACGTCGAGTGGTATCAATATAAATAAAACCTCTAGATATGCACATCAATCTGGTGTTACAATTTCCGTCTTGGCCGCACTACCTGCTTCGAAAATCTCGATTCCTTCGTTTTATATACTCCGCGACACAATTAGCGCTGACCAACCATCACCGGTTTTTTTTTCTTTAAGTATTAAAGGATTTGCAAAACAAACTGCCATGGGAATGGGAGTTGCTCAGTTGGGGTATGACCTAAATGGTAAATTTTGAAACCAGCCACTCCTCGTTCGAAGTAAAATGCGAAAAAGCGTCAAAGTCGTGTTCGCGCTAACAGTGTCGCGCAGTTTACATTATATTGCGCATTTGAGCATAACACGGAAGCACACGTCTCCTTGAGTATTAATGTTATGTCGAGATTAGCTTGTTGTCTTTGCTCAGTCGTGACGGCCTGCCGCACACGGTTAAAGCAAAGCCTTTACTAAGATAATACATTCTACTCCGCTCATTGAACGTACCTATATACCGGATTTGGTATGACAACACAGACGGCTTCTTCCGATGTTTCTGCTATCTCTAATGCTGTCCAAGACGATAGATGGCGCAACCTACCCCTCCATATATGAAGTAAAAATCGCCCGAAGTTGCGAGAGTCCAGCCGCTCCAACTACTCGAAATCCGTCGCGAAATCATTAGATTTTCACGAAGTAACGTATCATGAGGATATGGTCGGAAGAGGAATTGCGTTACTGTTGCGTATAAAGGAACTCTGCTTCGATCGCTTAAGGTAAGTATTTAATCTACAGAGCATACCAAAGGCAGGTGATCATAAAAAAATATTCTATAAAATTAAGATCCTGTACAGTTCATAGTTTTGTGATGTTAAACGTAGTGCAGCCTCATTGGTTTTATTTCATTATCATTGTGAAATCATTAGTGTTAATAAATACGTTAAAAGGCTGCTAGATTCTCACATAATTTATTAAGTAGCGCAGAGATGATAATTTATAACATACAAACATCTATATCACTGAGAGCTTAAGCAATGAAGGGTGTGAACTGTATTCCCCCTCCCTGCTTTGTAATTTTTATTCGGTATTATTATCAAATAATGCCCCACCGTTTATAGTTATAGAGCCATACCAAGACATTAGGGACTCCCCATGCACTCTAGTTTATAACCTGTAACTAGTGTGTAAAATGCAAATGGCACGTGAACTCTGCCAGTGAGTTAACTGCAGGCGTATTTTTGGTGAATAATTTCGTTAAAGTACGTTGGTAAGTATAGACCTGCGTCAATGCGGTTTCCAATAATCACTTACTGCGGAATTCTTATAGCGACGAATAATTTAATGAGAGTAGAGTTATCAAATTCGCAAATAGTGAGCTCATCCACATTAAAAACCGAGCAAATATTTTGTAAAATGTAGCTCCTAGTGTACTTACCCGGGGTTTATTTGCCTTAGCACCAGTCGAATAACTTCGGTGATGCCAATCCGGTCGACGTCTTCCATACTGTAGAGTGTTATTCCCAGCTTATCCATGAAATATCTACAAAATGTGTACCTATAACTTGCTATTCATTTGAGCCACAGGATGTTCACTGACAATCCTGGATAACAAACCGCTGCCGCAAAAACCTCTTCCTGATATACAACTTCTCCCACTCATGTTCGGTTATTATTTTTTCTTCTTCGAGTAAATCGCAGTCTGATACGTAAACTGTATTTAGGGTGCGTCCAGAAGTCTTGTTCAACTGGGAAATGTGTGTTGAAACTAGGGCACGCATGTCGGTTTTAAATTAAGCTTGCGGTTTGTAAATGCATTGCGTGAAATATGTTAACTATTTCGAATTTTTACCGAATAAAAACTTTTTCTTTTAATTAGGGCTCATGAAAAACGCTTAAATACAAAAAAAACTACATTTAAGGGGGACGCTGGCATTGACCCATGCGAGCAGTGTAAAGCATCAAGAGTGGTTAATGCATTTTGTTTGCTACTTTATAATTATTCTTGCTTCCGCGTTTCTTTTCGCATTTTTTTTTTTGGGGGGGGGGGGGGGGGGGAGGGGGAGGGAGTGGGAGTGGGGGGAGGTGGCGTGTTTTTTCGGCATTATTTTTTCCTTATATTCGGTGTTTTTCTCTAATGTCTCTGTTTTTCTCGGAGAACAAATCCGGGATTATCGAGGCTCATATCAAAGGACGTAGGCCACGGGATTAGGATTGCCCGACCTCTAGAAAACACGGGGTTTCACCAAGTACACGCGAAACTTCCCGGTAGAAACAAGAGATGGAAGCTGTATAAGGGGTGTGGTTCCAAAGCAAGAAATCTGCCTCGCGTACAGTTCAACACGGGCTCTGTTTTCAGGGAACAAAAATAAGACCGGTTAGATGTTAGTTTTTTTATGCAGCATGGAATTTTCAATATCAAGATTAGCTCTAAATGAGTTTTCGTTTTTCTCCCATTTTCGTAAAGCGCCGTCTCAAAATTTGATTTGTTTGGGTATATCCCCCCCCCCCCCCCCGCCCACACACACACATACAGATACAAAGGAAAGTAAAAGCCTTTAAACTATAAGCAATATATTGACAAGAAACGAAGTTCAGATTACCTTTCGTAAGGGTCGATTTTCCTCAGGGCAATGTAGGCAAAATTGTCTTTTCGAACACTGAAAAAATATTCAGCTGTCAATTGGTGAAGGTTTGCCTAGTATGGTGTTTTACAATGTCTACTCATAAAATTGTGAAAAAAAATCTTGAAAGTTGGTGTCTATGAGCATTTGGTTAAATTTGAGCAGTTACGAAATCTCTTGAATTGGCCTCATAGTCACTACTAACAAACCCATATTTGTCACTTCACACCGCTATTCAGCTTTCGACACGTGTATTGTGCTCACATGTTTGATTTGTGACGATATTGGCCTCATAGTCACTACTAACAAACCCATATTTGTCACTTCACACCGCTATTCAGCTTTCGACACGTGTATCGTGCTCACATGTTTGTTATGTGACGATATCTGGATGGTTGTTTTTCAACACAGAAGGCGCGTTCACACAGAAAAGAGAAAAGAGGTTGCCACACAGGACTAACCAACCCTGTCATTGTCGGCGTAGTCTCGGGATATCTCGCGTTTGTTCAGAGAGCACGGGAATTCTTTTATTCATCCGCCATGTGCATCCTTACTTGGCGATCGTTCGTGATCACACATGTGCACCGACATGACCGTTTTTAGAGATTAAACGTAGATTAATATATAATTACATACGATCAAAATAAAGTTGTATTCATTGTTGCGGGAGGCACAATCTCGAGCGACCAGCCTTAGGCGGTACATAAGGTCAACTTTATACCCGTGTTATTGGGCAAACTAATGTGCAAAAACGCGTAGCGCGGAGACACGCCAGCGCTTCTGTACCTTTGATAGCGCTGCACACAGCTTGTGTGATACTGTTTTCGAAGGGGAACGGTTGTATTCCGTAGTCGTTAGCGCAAACAAAGCATGCACAAGTCACGTTGGGAGTGATGGCTGTACTGCAGGCGCACGCGTCCAAGGTTGTGGTTTGATGGCGGCTTTCCCGTGAATAATGAATGATTGCTGCACGGCGTCGCACAGGTCCAGCATCGCCCACACTCTTGACATCGAAGTGCTTCCAAGCAAGTATGGATTGGAACACAACCCTCGAAAGATGCGCCATTACGCGTTGCTTGTGCATTGAAAATGACAAAATAGGAAAACAAGCCCTAGCCTAAGGCGACACGCCAGGTTCAATCTCCTGCTGAATGTGCCACGCGCGAGCGTCGCCGGATAAATTGTCCGCGGGGACGCAACCCCCGCCGTTGTCTTCCCCAAAGAACGACACTTTTTAATATAAAAAACAAGCAAAAATCACAACCCTCGGCTCGCGTCTTGGTTTTGTGTGAATGGGCCTTTATTTAGTGTGTATAATCATTTTGATTAGAACATGCTAATGCTATGCAGTGTTATCATCCTGTTAAAATAGTGATATTAGCCCAGGTAGCACACCATGTCGGCCGATACTGGGATTACGTCGGCCAGTACCGGGAGCTGTACGGCGGATCCCGGCCAGGGACGCCGGTAAGAAACCGACCTCGGCCGATATCGGGGGCTCGTTGTCGAAACTGGCCAGCACCAGCCGGAAAGTTCCCGATACCGGCCGACATCGTTTTCTTGCTGTAGTCACCGGCCAGTCTAGCCATGGAGTTTCCGGTGACTGGCCGATATCGTTTTCTTGCTGTAGTCACTGGCCAGTCTAGCCATAGAGTTTCCGGTGTCTGGCCGACATCGTTTTCTTGCTGTAGTCACCGGCCAGTCTAGCCGTGGAGTTTCCGCTGACACGCCGATATCGTTTTCTTTCTGTAATCACCGGCCAGTTCAGCCACGCAGTTCCCGGTGACTGGCCGACATCGTTTTCTCGCTGCTTTCACAGGCCATTCGAGCCATGCAAGTTTTGATATGTAACCGACATAGCTTTTTCGCTGATATAAAAACTATATGATGGTTACGAATGACCGTTAGGTTGGACATGTCTTCGGTATGCTAAAAGGTGACACCTAATACTATACTTAGCCTAATATTAACGCCGCGTCATCCTTGAATTAGTTAACAAAGGCTTATTTCCGTTTTGTTAAATAGGACGGGATCAAACATGGCTGTGGAATGAAAATTTAATTTGGTTTTCATCTATCAATTTCTTAAAGCGCAGCTTTTAGGCGCCCGTTTCCGGCTTGAGCGGCATCGCCGTCGCAGTCGCCGTCGGCGTAACCGCGCGTTTTATTATGGGAAACGTCCCAGAATGCAACGCGCGGGTCTCACTCGTGACTCGCGCATTGCATTATGGGACGTTTCCCATAATCACGGCATGTGTGACGTCACGAGGGTCCCGCGCGTTGCATTATGGGAAGCGTCCCATGATGCAACGCGCGGGTCTCACTTGTGACTTGCGCATTGCATTATGGGACGTCTCCCATAGTGACGGCATGGGTGACGTCAGGAGGGTCCCGCGCGTTGCATTATGGGAAGCGTCCCATGATGCAACGCGCGGTCGGCGACGCCAACGTCGCCGTCGGGGTAACCGCGCGTTGCGTTATAGCAAACGTCCCAGAATGCAACGCGCCGTCTCATTTGTGACCCGCGCGTTGAACTATGGGAAGCGTCTCATGATGCAACTCGCGGGTCGGCGACGTGTCGGCGTAACCGCGCGTTGCGTTATGGGAAACGTCCTATAATGCAATGTGCCGTCTCATTCGTGACCCGAGCATTGCATTATGGGACGTTTCCTAAAATGACGTCACAAGGGTCCCGCGCGTTCCAATATGTGAAAAGCCCCATGATGCAACGCGCAGGTCACTTGTGATCTGCTCGTTGCATCGTGGCGGCGAAACTTGCTTTCGATGAGTTGGGCATTTTTACTGCGGCACTGCGCTTCCGTAAATATTTCCACGTGTTCTCAAAGGCAAGTCTCACGGCTTACACAGGGTTTTAAAGAGCTTCTTCAACGAATGACTACGAACGAGTAGAAAAAGTGTCTTCAGCATGCTGCCGCCAGCCTCCGCAACGCTCCAAAAACGCGATTTTTCAACATGCAAGATGGGCGACCGGTGGCTTCACTCTCGCGCTGCAGCTGCAGCGACCAAACGGGGATGCGCGATCCAGCCCTTTCCCCAGGCAGATGCCGAGCGCTCCGCGTTAGCGGTTGCGAACGCGGTTGTATAAAGATCCAGTACAATTGCACGCGCACTCGATCGAGTGTGCGTGCAATTGTACTGGATCTTTATACAACCGCGTTCGCAACCGCTTTGCGAACGCGGATCTGCTTCCAGTGTGAATGAGCGGTTAGTGCGATCCACCCCAGTGGCACGCGCTGCCACCGCTTTTATAGCGTCTGTCCTCGCTTTTTAACAGTTTCGGTTCCCATTGTTATATTGCTGAAAGCATGAAGTTCTGAACGGAACTTAATGTTTTGACAAAAATGTTGATTAACGGTGACCCCGACGTTGAGACACTATTTATTTTCCCTTGCAGTTATATAAACCCGATGAAGACAAGTACTTTTGTACGAGCCGTAGGATGCAATAGACCCTTTGCGAAAATCCCTAAAGCCCGCTTGCGCCGCGCGACAAATAATGGAAGTCCTCGCTACGCCCCTCCTGCTACCACGTGGCATACGCGAGCAGGCACAGGTTACCACGGCAACAGAGCAGCCGAGTTGGGCGAGCGACGAGCCGACGGCTGCCCCCTTTCTCATCCCTCTCCTTTGTACCGGCACTGTCGTCTGCTGCACCAACGGTTTGTCGAACCTGGTCGAAACCTGACACGGTTGCGGTGCAAACTAAATGTATTCGATGACACTTCAATACGCGAAGGTAAGTTACGACGAATAAGGTATTGAAATGAGTTCACCTGTCGCGATGCATTTGCATTAAACGCAACCGTACCGTAACTGCGGCTGCCACAGATACGGTCCGCCGGCAACGATGTACGACTCGGCGGATGGCTGCGACGGCTGCTGGCGGTAGCTGCCGGGACGCGCGCGCAGTCGCGGAGGCGTAACGAGAAAGCGCGCGCGCGTGATCTGTACCGAGTGTTCCCAAATTCCCTTTCCGAAGGCGAGTTCCATCTGCGAAGTATTTGGCGTATTGTCTTCAGGCAAACGACATACCTAGCTCTTCATTCGAATAGGCGCACACAACGTCTTCGACGTAACGCCATACCTTGAGCCTCTTCGCTGGCAAAGCGAATGAGTCGGCAAAGACTTCGCCGAGAACGGCTGCCTCGTCGTCACTCGAGCTGCAGCCAAGCTGGTATCTTCGTCGCTGTCACTGATTTCGCTGCTACTGCGTTATATTAGTCCTCCTGAACTTAACTGCAACGATGTCATCGCCGCAGAATGCTCGGGCCAGTCGGTCATGACAATAAGAACGAAAGCAAGCAGAGCAAGAGTGCCCACCCAGCAATCGAAACAAAAAAGCAGCGAAACTCCTTCATTCCCTTGCGGCAACGTTGATACCGAAACTGAAATGTTGCGAGCGACTACAGATCGTACTCCCCCGAAAAAGTTTGCGGGGAGAACTGCTCCGGGTCCGAGCGGTCTGTCCGGGGAAGACACAGTTTGGGCAGCGCATTCGTTTCTTACATCTTTCTGCATGATCGTAATAGAAACATCACGTGCACCCTATTTTCAACCAGAAAGGGTCACTAAATTTAACTCTTACACGCTTAATAAAACCCAGGGGGGTAAAGGTGGGTGAGGAGGAGTGGCAAATCCCGTGCGCCGACACCCGGGGTCCCGAGTGAACGATCGCAAAAGAGAGCGACAGAATACGAGAGAAAGAAAAAAAAAATTGGGTTGTGTGTGTGTTTATACAGCCTATAACTTGGTCTGCCTCACAGGGGCGACGAGTCTCCCAGCTGTAGATGAGAAATTTAGCCAGTGCGGTACAGCCGCTTGCCTGGGGTCTTTAACGTGCATCACGCAGTTGTGATACACGACCGCACGCCGGTACGATGCTCATCCAGATCGAAACGGGCAGGGGTGGGGCTCGAACCGAGAGAAAGAAAGCAACGTTGCCATGGTAAACGCGAAGAGTGAAAACTCTCAGCAATATAAACAACGATAATTTAACGTTGTAAACTAAATTCTGAGC